AATATATTTTGTTTCCTATGGTTACGTAGCATTTACGTTTACTTAAAGTGCAGAAAATATATTTTGTTTACGTAGCATTTATGTTTACTTGAAGTGCAGAAAATATATTTTGTTTACGTAGCATTTATGTTTACTTAAAGTGCAGAAAATATATTTTGTTTCCTATGGCTATGAAGCATTTATGCTTACTTAAAGTGCAGAAAATATATTTTGTTTACGTAGCATTTATGTTTACTTGAAGTGCAGAAAATATATTTTGTTTACGTAGCATTTATGTTTACTTGAAGTGCAGAAAATATATTTTGTTTACGTAGCATTTATGCTTTCTTGAAGTGCAGAAAATATATTTTGTTTATGTAGCATTTATGCTTTCTTGAAGTGCAGAAAATATATTTTGTTTATGTAGCATTTATGCTTTCTTGAAGTGCAGAAAATATATTTTGTTTCCTATGACATTGTAGCATTTATGTTTACTTGAAGTGCAGAAAATATATTTTGTTTCTTATGGCTGCATATGATATTTTTACTTTATTTCTTTAGACAGATAATAGTCAAAGTCTGCTTATTATATTGTTCACATGTTTTGGTCACAWAAATCACAGACACTTGAGTTAACAGTTAACATTTCTAAAATGTTTGAAACAAAACGACTYCTTTTACACCTTAATTTGATTAATTTTTTTTAATCGGTTGACAGCTCTAATTTTAATCTAATGATTTTGGAGAYGTTTGCGATTACATTATGTTTATTGTCACCTATGTTTACATTCACGTACAACGCTCACATTAGTTTACCCCCATACTCAGTTTTAGTACTTCATTGCTACTATTATTAGCTATTTTATTTGSTATTTTACTCTTAGGAAATAWAACAATAGTGTAGAGACACATTCTGCTAACTGTGCCCATTTCTTTGTATCATCTTCAGAACGTTTAGCCATTTTTTAATCTCAGAGCCTAGCCTGGCCCTTGCCTTCCTACGCAGCTCCGCTCAWTTCTAGTTTCGCTTCACAGCTCCGTCTGAGATTTCTCCCATAGACAATAATTTCTTCGGGAGAATTTTCATCCAGCCAATCAGAGAACAGAACATTGATTTTCTGCACAGTGTCGCCTTGTAGTTTATTTTACCTGGGCCAATCAGCAAACAGAAGGCGGAGTTTTGAATGACGTAGATTTTCTGCACCGTGTCTGATAGTTATTTTAACAATGGCAGTGGAGGAAGTGAATGAAGCCAGTCCATGTTCATAAGGCTTCCAAATTAAAATAAATTTGTCTGACAAAGCAGCAGCTCTCATTTACAGTCGTCTCATTCAGCTCGGTACTTCTCTCCTCTCAGTAGGGTTGTTTACAATGCACGCGATTTCCGGTTAGTTTCTTAACTTAGCCTCCTTTACAGCGACATACTTCGTGGCCAACCGATCCAATTGTTTTTAAACTTTGAGAGGCCACGCCTCCAGCAAGAATCACTTCTCTATTGCCACGAGTCCAGACCTTCATTTGAAGCAAAGTGAAGGACAAGGGTCTGGTTTTTACCAGGCTATATCAGAGCTGGAAATGTCCCCAGATTTAGTGTCAGAAATCTGGTCACCCTGCAAAACGTACAATAGGTTGTCATCAGGCCCGGGCCGCCCTTGCAAAAGAGGTCTGTGATCTCAATGGGATTCACCTGGTTAAATAATGATTAAATAATATATTGGCTCAGGTTGACAAAAAAGTGAATAAATTATATTGTTATTATATGTGCTGTATTTGCATAACTAACCCATAACCCGGTAAAGACCAAGAACTTTTTTAAAAGTCATAGATATTTTATTTCAGGCCCCGGTAGCTTTAAAGGACTAGCTTATGTTGACAAAATATTAATGATTATTGTTTTTCTGCAGTTGTGCAGAGTGGTTGATTTTCACTCAAGGAACCATACTGTCATAAAGTTTAAAGACAAATTGAGGATAAAACATTCAATATGTTCATTATGTTCCATTATGAATAAAATTATTGTATTCTGTTTTTATTTACATTTTATACAACTTTGTGCATTTTTTAAACAAGATAATATTTAGAGTTGTATCTCATTTTCCATTTTTATAAAGTAAAATCTGAAAATAGTGGCATGCATTTGAATTCAGCCCCCTGGAGACATTACTTTGTAAAACCTGCAGCTCATTTTTCTTTACAATACAGCTCAGTCAAGTTGTTTGAAGAGTGTCTGTGGATGGCAGCTTTCAAGTCTGGGCACAGACTCTAAGATTGACTTAGGTTCTGGACTTTGACTGGACCGTTTTAACTCCTGAACATGCGTTGATTAGCTGTCTAAGATTAGATTAGATTAGCTCTGTCTGGATGGTACAAGTCGTTGTTCTGCTGGAGGATGAACCTCCAGCCTCCTGGTCCCTGCTGAAGAGAAGCATCCCCGCAGCATGACCACCATGTGTGTTCAGAATGACGTGGAGTTTTAGCTTTCTGTCACAGTGTTTTGTAATTAGGTCAGAATGTTTGGATTGGGGTCTCACCTGAGCAGAGCAGCTTCCTCCACATGTTGGCTGTGTCTCCTACAGGGTTTGTGACAAACTGCAAACGGGACCTCTTCAGGTCTTCTTTCAACAACAGCTTTCTTCTTGTCTCTCTTCCTGAAGGACAGATTTGTGGAACATGACTAAAAGTCGTCCTGWGGACAGACTGTCCATCTGAGCTGTGGATCTCTGCAGCTCTTCCAGAGTCACCACTTGGCTTCTTAGCTTCTGGGATTAATGCTCTTCTTGTCCGGCTGGTCTTGGTATGACAGGATTTAGGAGTTTAGGATTTTGTTTTATAAGCTAACCCTGCTTCACATTACTCAACAACCTCCTGACCGGTTAGGAGTGTTCCTTGGTCTTCAAGATGCTGTTTGATCATTAATGTTCTGTATCAGGTCTTCACAGAACATCAGATTAAATTACACAAAGGTGGGTTGAATAATTAGGGGATTTCTAGGACTAGGCAGTATGACTGTATTAAAATATGGTGACGATTATACAGATTATGACCATATTATTCATATGAGGGCACGTGCTAAATTTCACGTCAATTTCCACAAGGCTGCTGAGAAACTGGGACATAAACATTCTAACAACCCCACTTCAGACCGTTCTTTCAAAAGATGCCCCAAAATTTTACTGATGGGATTTCTGACCACCTCAGCTCATTCAGAAGACAAACGGAGGAGGAGGAGTAGGGGCTTCTTAAGCAAGGTAAAAAAGGTAAAAAAAAAAACAACAAATAGTCAAAGTCAGACATTAAGTCGAAACATCATTACTGGGCTGCTTTCGGATTGAAACTTCCTGTGATTATTTCCCCCAGAGACTAGCGCTGCTCACTTCAGACAAGGAAATAATTCTGGGAAATACAGTACCTACAAACTTTATTGGCACAAACACTGTCTAAAAGGATGCAGCAGCACAGATACAACCGTGGTAAGATTAAAATTATTTTGAAATTTAAAACCCTAAAAAGACATTGTTGGACCTCAACATAATAAACGTCCTTCTGTGACCTCTCCTGTTGCTCAGTTTGAGTGACAGCATCTATGCTTAGGCTCTATGCTCAAGCAAATGCTTACCCCCCCATACCCCCCCACCCCCAGATAAACTGTTAGAGGGATTGAACTTTTACTTTGGAGTCACAGAGTAAAGGGGACTGAATATAAATGTATGCCACATAAAATTTAAATTTCCTTATTTTCCTTCTGATTGTCAATTAGGAATTTCTCTGTGTTGCTCTGTCACATAAAATCCAAGTAAAATACTTTGAAGTTTGTAGTAAAAATGTAACGGTTCTAGGGGCATGAATACTTTTTCAAGGCACGTTGACCAAGTATCAAGTGTCTGTTACTACTGGTGGTAAAAACAATTCATGACACACAACGTTGCACAAAGAGAAGCACGGTAAATTAGCATTAAAAAGCGTTGCACACACAGCAGCGAAGGGTAGTGTGGTAAAGTGTAGCCTTGCCGTTTCCTGCAGATGATGAAGGCCAGGAAGGTGACCAGGCCGGACACTAGGGCCGTGCAGATCCAGATGATGGTCATGGTGTTGTAACGCAGAGGCGCTGCAGACACACAGAAACACAACATGGTTATACTAACACACACACACACACACACACACACACACACACACACACACA